GAGAGAGAACAGTGTCTCCTGGAACTAATATATGATAGTCCTTGTATGAGGCAAGCCACTCCCATGACACATGATGAAGACTAAGATCAGGGTTAAGAGATACCAGAGCCACTGAAATGTGCCTAAGAAAAGATGGGGATGCTACTCAGAGGGAGACAGACGAGAAAGTATAAGAGCAAGACATTTCACAAAAAAGAGAAACAGGATGTCTTTGTGGAAGAGATGCCAGACCAAAAAAAGAAAAAAGAATGACAGGCTTTTCACAGAAGAGAACTAATACCCCTCCCCATTCTCTCTATCATCCCATCTCTCTTATGATACAGAATGATACATTTACCAACAGTAGGAAGAATAGCGCAATGAATCTCCCTCACCCCATGTGGCCATATGGCTACTATGCTGGCTCCTTTTTATGTCAACTTGACCCAAACTAGAGTTATTTTGGAAGAGAGAACCTCGGTTGAGAAAATGCCATTTCCCCACCAGATTGGCCCATGGGCAAGCCTGTGGTAACAATTTTCTTTCTTGATGATTGATATGGGAGGGTTACGCTCACTGTGAGCGGTGCCACCCTTAGGTTGGTGGTCCTGGGTGTCCTAAGGGTGCTCTAAGACAGAAGGCTGAGCAAGCCATGAGGAGTAAGCCAATAAGCAGCAAGCTTCTTTTGGTCATGGTGTTTCATTACAGCAACCAACACAAACACTAAAACAGTCACCCACTAAGATCTCTTAAGTTAGTGGTGCCTATGTTTTCATCATCTTTTGATCCTCTTATTTTGAATCATTCTCAGGAATACATAAACTTATCTCTACATAGTTTTAGACTATATGAAAGATAAGAATATTCAAAGTGTTAGTACAACTTCATCATCACACGCAGAAGACACAATGTCAAATATACTGCTGTCACTCACCTTTTAATTGTTAAACCAGTGCCCTGTTCAGCAAATTTCTCTATTCTTTGAATCAAGAGCCAAGTGAACAAATTGCTCAGTTAAAAAAAAAATCTTTGACTAATTTCTAATTTGTAGATTTCTCATTTCATTTTTTTTTTTTGCTACTTGTTTATAGAGGAAGTTGGGCTTATTGTTTGTTCCATAGGGTTGTTTTAGGTTTGCTAACAGGATTCACTAATTCAGTAGTTTAACCAGCGCTGTCACCCTTATAGGCCTCATTAGTTAGTTTCCAAGTCCAGAGGCTTGATCAGACTTCAGGTTTGATGTTTTTGGCAAGACTTCACAAATGGCCCTTTGCATGTCAGGAAGCACACAGGATGTCTGGTGGGTCTCTTTCTGTGATGTTCACACCTGTTTGATGTCTAAAGCTCCATCAATTAACACATCAAGGGCTGCAAATTGGTGCTGTGATAGTTCTGTCAGTAGATTCTTCTGTCTTTACTGGTTGAACTGTTTCTCTATAGAGAGCTCCCTCCTCTACAACCCATCTTACCCTGCTTATGTACCTGGTATGAAGGGAAATTCTTGTGTCTTCCCCAGGGAATACTTTCACTTAATGTCTTTCAGAGATGACCCATTAGACTTCTGTTGGGATGCTTTTAAAGAATGCTCGAACACAAGGATTTAAATTTGTTTGGTGTTTTAACATATCTTTTTGTTGCTCAAATTGTTTTAGCTTACTTGTATAGGAGCCTATGCAAATTGAACCTGAGTCCTTTGATACAGACTTAGCAGCCTTTGGTAACTCCCTTACTTGCCTATGACTTAGACGTCTAGGTTTGTAATTATATATATATATATATATATATATATATATATATATATATATATATATATATATTTTATAGATGTATATAATGTATAATATATATAGATCTCTGACTATATCATCACTAAGCAGTAATAACTTTTTCTTGGTAGAAAATGGTACCAGAGGATGAATCAGGGTGTTAACTAAAATGACTTTGGACCTGTATATCAGATTATGTGTTAGTTACGTCTCTAAACACTGTGACGGGGTACCCAACAAAGGCAATGCAAAGAATGATTTGTTTTTCTAAGCTCACAGTGTGGGAAATATAGTTCATTATGGCTATTCATGCATATCTATGGGATTAACTCACAGTTGAAGCAGCAAGAGGCAGAAACATCTAGTTAATGTCATGTCAACAGTGTAGAAGTGTAGTTTAGGCTGGAGTCAAGCCCAGGTACAACTCTCAGGACTCTTACAGCATCTACCCACTTCTGTCACCTCCATAGTGTTCTATAACTTTTCCAATGGCATCATCATCTGGGGAACAGGTGTTGAGGAAAGTGCATTCCTGGACCATTATAAAGCCTTATGAGGAGATACATAGGCTTCAGAACTAGGAAGGAAATCACCATGCAATCCTCTTCCACGACACACTTAAATATTTTTATTGATTTTTTTTAAATAAAGCACATGTATACAATATATTTTGATCATATTCATCCTCTACTTTTCCCTCTAACTCCTCCCAGATCTGTCTCACAGCCCATCTCAAATCTATATCCCTTCTTAAAAATTATTAGTATTTTTCATAATCCACTGAGTCTAGCTGTTGTGCTGCCAATATACTCAAGTATGGAGCTCTCCACTAGAGTGAGATTAAACTCCCAGGAGCCACACCCATGAAGAATAGTCACTCTTCCTCTCTCAGAAACCACCAACTGCCCACAGTTTCTCAGTTGGTGGAGCACATGGCTTTCTATTCCCTCCATGCGGGAGTGCTCACTGGCTTGATCTTATGCAGAGAAGTGTAGCTGCTCTGAGTTCATGAGCACAGTGTCCTGTCATGCCCAGAAGACACTGTTTTGCTCTGGTTCTCCCTGACCTTTCACTCTTATAATCTTTCTCCCCCATCTTTTGTTATGGTCCATGAGGCTTGGATAGATGGGTGTGCCATAGGTTTTCCATTGTGTCTGAGCATCCCACTGACTTATTCTTTGCAATTTTGCCAGTTGTGGTTGTGGGTTTCTGCATTAATTTCCATCCATTCCACAAAGGCCTTGAGAGGTATGTAGAATAGCTGTGGGCATGCTTTTTATGAGGCAGACATCAGGTGGCTTTTCTAATCTGTATTTCTACTCTTGATTTCTAATAACATAGGGGAAAGTGACCATTTAGCTTTGTATTGTAATTGAAAAAGAATGTTTGGAGAGGTGAAAGAATTTGCTTAAAGCCCAAAATGCTAATTATTTGATAAAGCTAAGATTTGAAATAACATCTTTGAATACAAAGCCTATCCATCAAAGTTGCATAAGAAAATAATTTGGAACCTGGTTTAGTGACCAAGTGAAAGGTCTTAAAGTTGGAATTTAATTTGAAAACACACTAAAAATGGCACAGCGACATTCCTTGTGCCAAGAGCAGGCTGCCTTCATTACATTTCTTTAAATAATATATTACTGCCCCACTGGAAACTACCTGAGAAGAAGAAAATTCAGATGCATGATGCATTGTGATTAGGGAATCGGTGGCCTCAGAGCCAGGCACAGCAAAAGTGACTTTCAAGCCCATGATTTTACCTGTTTCACTTTAGCTAAGTTACTTAATGTATTTCAGCTTTAGCTTCTCTATATCAAAAGGATGATAGAGATGCCCAGTATGCAGGCATCCTGCTAGAGCTAACGTTAGGTTGTATGTAAGTGTGTGTGTGTGTGTGTGTGTGTGTGTGTGTGTGTGTGTATCTGATACCCCACTTGGCATGGAGAGCAATATTGGAAAGTCTCCTTCTGCTCATACCCCTCTGTGTTTTTATCTGGTCTTCCTTGCGTATAGATAAGGAGTCAGCCATTACTGAATGCTGTAACAGTTTGAGAATTGGATGATAAGAGCCCATCAATAGCTAAGTGTTGCCATTCACATTCCGCCAGCTTTTATTAGCTGAAATACTTGTGTATAGAAAAATGCTTGCTCATTGATGGCTGCATCCTGGTCTACAGTGCGTGTAGAAAGAGAGTGGAAATGCTTGTGTCTGTAGATTCCATCTGCTGAAGTAGCAGAGTGTAGTGTTGTGGTGGAAAACCTGTCATCCAAAGCCTGTAATACTTTTTCCAGAGAAAGAAAAAAGGAAAAAGCACATAAATGTTTATGGGGTATTGTTATGGTCTGTTAAATGTTCCAATCTTGTTTTGTTGTTGGTTTGTGTGTATGTGTGTGTGTGTGTGTGTGTGTGTGTGAACCGAGAACCCTTCTCCCCACCTCAGACAGACCTACTGCCCTCAGTGCTCTGTTTCTCTGTCATCTTCTTAGATCTCTGCTTCCTCTGGTGCACCACTGTGCACTTGTAAGGATGCTCATCTGCTCTCTGGCATCCCAGAGACGTAAACCATAGGGGATCTGAGTACTTCATCACAATGCAGGGACCCTGGCCTTTGTGTGAACATTCTTCTCCCTCTTGGGAATACTTATCATGCTTTCCTGGGCACTGTTACAAGATGCAGGGAGTAGTGAGCTGAAGACAGTATCATGATTAATTCCACTGTGCAAGGCTTTCCCAAGTATGACAAGGTGAGTCCAGGCACAAAGATGTGTCAGCCTTCCGTATGAAAACACCAGTCTGGTAGCAGAGGCTCATGGCACAGGCTGATCGGTTCTTGCAAAATTGAGAGTTACTCATTCATAACTTAAACTCTGGCCTATTCAGGAGGAACTAGTACCTTTCCAGGGTTTGAAAGATGGGAAACCCTGGGCACACCAGAGCTGTGTGGAAGGGGTGGAACAGGACTGAGGAACCATGTGGGAACAAGTGTGTAACACTTTTTCAGGAGAGGATCTATAATAGCAATACACTTTACAAAACAGAGCTTGGTGGAGCATGTTTATAGTCCCAGAACTTGGGAAGTGGAGGCAATGGAATCAAGAGTTCAAGGTTATCCTTAGCTATGTAGTATTGAGGCCAGTTTGGGCTACATGAGGCTCTGGATTTCTGTTTTAGGTCTTTAAGACTGACAAAAGCATGTTTAAACAATGAGAAGAGCATTTCTATTTGGTTTGTTAATTTGTTTATTTTATTCTTAGGGCCCCTCGGGACGACCAGGAGATAAAGGACCCCCGGTATGGTATGCTTTAGATGGAGGACTCTTAACACAATTTTAAATCAGAGGCAATCAAAAGTCACTAGAAATTCCTCACACTAGACAGACTCTCCAAAATATGAGCGTGAGCTTATGGGAACATTGAGAAGGAAGGAAGTGGCGGGTTCAGTTAATCCAACAGAACTGTTTTACTGTCAGGCACACTGAGACTGGCTTTGCCTGTTAGCATCACTCCATTATAGAAGTGGAACCTCAATTTAGTGAATTTAATCAAATGGCCAAGTCAAAACTGGTTTTGAATTCTGGTTTTCCCCAGTCACAGAGCCAGGAACACATGAGGGGATTTTTCTTGACTTGTAACCTGGTGACAGCAACAGCCATGAGCTATCATGGGCTCATTTTACACTAAGACAACAGGAGAGATATGTTTGTTCTCAGGAACAGCCACCATTTCTAGCAATTTTCAAGCATTCACTGTATGTGTGCTGGTGCATCTTCTGCTTTTAAGTCACCTCATGAGCAGAGGAGCTACATATCAACAGCTGGAATCATGCCCAGCCTTTGGCTCTGGGCATGTATTTTAAATTGATATTCATTTTTATTTTCTGATTAAGCAGGGTAGGAAGTCTTGTGGATGCTTTGCTATATGAGGAAACTAAGGCTTGGGGAACAATTGAGGTTTATGGCCATGGGATCCCACAGCAAGTTATGCTGAGTAGGGCTGAGGGAGATGGGACTCTGAATGAAGGGTAGGTTTGAGGAGAGATCTGCAAAAACCCCAAGGAGGACATTTCAGTTCCTGCAGAGCAGATAGCCAATGTACTGGGAAGAGCTCATTCTCTACTTATAAGTCTAAAAAAATGAGATCTATTACCTGATGTCACCTAAAAAAATTGTCACCATAATGGGAGTGATCTTAAGAAAGTGATCAGTGCCGTGCATGAGCTGAGCATTTTGTTGAATCTTGTGCAAGGAAAGTTGTTTAACCGATTAAGCAGTTCACAGGGCTGGCTGCACAACTCATGGTGTATAGGAAGACATTCTGGATTGGTGCTCAGGCCTGGTTCTCCATAGGACCTGTGCCTCCCACTCCAGTAAGGGGCCACAAGGGGCTAATGTGTGAGGTTTGTGTCAGGCTCCTATGGAAGTTTTTTCTGAGCCTTGTATCTGTGTACCCAGCACAAGTTTCCACAGAGCTCAACCTGCTCAGTAAGGTTTGAGCACGGTGCTTTTAACACATGCATTATTGTCAAATTTCTGTTCAAGTGATAGCATGCTCTGACAAAAGCACCATAAGGAAAAAGTCCCTTTTCCTAATTTAGTTCTGTGCAAGGTTCAGTCTGTTGTAGCAGGGAAGACAAGGCAGCAGGAGCCTGAAGCAGGTGCTTGCATCTCATCTACAGATAGGAGACAGGGATGAATGCAAGCTAAGCACTCACTATGCTCACCTTCTCCATTTGCTACAGCTCAAGAGTCTCAGACCATGTTTAAGATGGGTCTTCTCTCATTGGTTAACAGAACTGTGATAATCCCCACAGGCATGTCCAGAGACCTAGCTCTGAGGGGATTCTAGATTTCATTATGATGACCACACCAGCAGTCTCTCTGCATAGTTTATCATTTGTATAGTCATAGCCAGCTATATCCAGACAAAAGTGAGACCTGTCTTTTCACAGTTGGAGCCTGTCTTTCTTTTTATCAGGGATCTCGAGGCTTACCTGGATTCCCCGGCCCCCAGGGACCAGCTGGCCAGGACGTAAGTAAAGAGAAGCGCAATGGGGTTAGTCAGTGCTTCAAGTCATCCCATGTGAGCTCATCTAACCATCTCCTAACCTCCCTTGTCCAAGTGGCCAGCATCCGTGCTCCGACATGTCTCTGTGGAGCCCCAGAGTATTTATGTATTTTTAATTTTCTGTCAATTGTGACTTTTTGAATGATTCACATTTGTCCATGGACTTCTTCCTGGACCTGCCCTGTCCCCTTCTCCTCAAGGGAATTACACAGGCTCAGCTGAGACCTATTTATGATGCTGATGGCAGACATCGTTGGTCTTCATCTCCTAGTCTTTGGTCCAAGATCCCAGAGTTCAGGATCTGTAGGTCTCTGGTACTCAGCAGCATGTCAGGCACCAGAAACATTCTATCCACACTCACTGGCAAAATGAATAAATGGTAGCTCTGAGTTTTTATTGGGCAAAAATGCTTCAGTAAGCAGCAGTGCTGACTGTATATCTCCTGCCTATGCTTTTTTGGTCCCCATTAAACAGAGAAAGTACAACCCTCTTCCCTTCACTGGGTTCTATTTCAGAAAGGATGCTCCTTTAGTTCTTGTTTCCCAACATGCAGGTTTACCTGTTCCCCTGTCATTCTTATATTTTTGTATCCAGTCATTAATGAAAGCACTTTCTTCACAAAGCTACTTATACCCCTCATATTTGGAATAAAAAATCAAGACGGATTTGCATGTGGATGTGTGTTTGCATGCCCACAATGTACACAAGGTCGTTGTAGTTTGAGGTTCTGGAATAGATTTATAGAACGGTTTCCTTTGCCCTACACACTTACCACTGTCCCTTGGAAAGCTCAACTAGGTCCCATCTTCAGAGTTGTGTGAATTGCAGTTGAGTGCAGCCAAGTCACAGTTGGCTGAGTCAGAGGGCGATGGATGGAGGGATGTATTGCACAGATAGAGAGGGCCTGGTCACCACAGTGATGACTTTCTTTCTTCTCTCTCTTAGGGTGCACCAGGAAACCCAGGAGAAAGAGGTCCTCCTGGAAAACCAGTATGTCACCTGCCGGGTCTGGATGAATGCTGACTGTCAGTCAGGGTGCCAGCGAGAAATAAAGTGCAATTAAGACAGTTCAAGAGGCTTTAACGAGGGGACCAACTGGGCAGAGGGAAGTCATTTGGGGTGCAGTGCAACCAAGGATATGCCGTGGTGTGGAGCATGTCTTCTTGTTTGCAGAGCCAGATGCTGGCTGGAGTGGTGGGAGGATAGCTGTGGATTTGAAGCCACTGCTATAAAGCCTGGCTCAAGGCATGTACACATCTACTTACCTTCCAAGCCCCTGACAGGACCTCCCTTTGGTCCAGTTCAGCCATGGACCAGCAGGGGAGGATAGCCCTGAGATACAATGAAACAAGATACAAGACAGAATGTGGAACTCGTGTGGAAACAGGACAATAGTGGTGTCCATTGAAAATTTCCAACTTATTCATTATCCATCTTTTGACTGGCTTGAGTGCTGCCACCATTTAGACAGCCAGAAGTAGTTATTTTGGTTCATATGAGAATGGGAGACGGATTCTCTAAGAGTTTAAGGAGGTACTAGCAGGTCCTTAGCTTGGTCACAAGCCAGCTGAAGATACAACAGGTATCTCTGAGGTACAATAACTCCATCTTCTGGAACACATCCTGAATTGGTAGTGGTAGGACAGAGGTACCAAAGGTTTAGCCAGGTGACCAGGTCATTTTCAGCCTCTTTAAGGAAGAACATGTGAGGCTAAGCATGTCTGGGGGTGGAAAGGGCCTCTTCATGAGGGAACAGTTCATTATTAGAAGATGCTAAGCAAGGTTCAGGAGAGTCTCCCATCAGGCAGGAGTCTCAGGCCTGGAGACTCATCCCACAGTCCACTGTTGGAATCAAGTTGCTCAGCTGGACAGAAGCTTCATCATCTCATGATGAGTCTGAGGGGTTGCTTGTCCTCTTTGCCAGCATGGCTTCAGGCAAGTTCCTAAGGCACAGAGAGTATTGTAGACTCATGCAACCCTCCCGTTCTTGTTAGAGCTGGTAGTCTCAGCAGAGAGCACAGCAAGAGTGGGATCTTGTTCTGTCTCTGGGGCTATGACACTTTTCACTGAAGACTTCCAGAAGGATGAGTGTAAGTTACATTGGAAATGTGAAAATAACTACTTTTCCATCATGGACCCAGCTATATGACAGCCAATGAAGCTTTTTGTGAGCTATGTCATCATTGAAGGGCAAGACCATAGCGAAACAGGTAGAAGAGCAAGACTCAGGCCAGAGGCATTAAAAGGATAAATTACATTTGCCCCATGCTAGACCTTGACACCACCTTGCAAGGATAAAATTTCAGAATACAACAGATGGTGTAGGCAGTTGTGTCTCACAGATGGTCATCATAGGAGCATCACAGAGAGCTCTATCTTTTTCCAACTAGCCCCATCCCACATGGAGTTGTACAGTGAGTGGCCTGTAGAACTGTCTTATCTTCAGGCAGGGCCTGACCTCTGCACCTCGCTGTCAATCACTGGTAGTATGGCTTCCCTATAAGTTCTAATAAATGTTATCATCAGCAGAAGCTAGACACGAGTAAGGAGACTCTAGGTGGGTATAGGTTGCGTCCTCCTTGTTATAATACATTCCACCATGTGTTACCTAGTGTCATTGGGCCTAATCTCTAGCATGTGGCCAACTGCTGAAAAGCATTCATGACACCTGGCTCTGTATCTTATGTCCCCTGCCCTAAGGTTACCACTTTCATACAAAACCAAAATGACTTTCTCCAGACCTTTCATGAGGGTTACAGAAAAACTGATATGAGCAACACCTTGATGAAATTATCTCAAAGCTGTTGTCTGTACTCACCCCCTTTCCTCTGTGCCTCTGTGAATAATGCCCAACACACTCAAAGGGATCAGGCCAGATATTAAAGGCACAAACAACAGTATAAGATATCACATAGAGTAAGATGCTAACTGTCTAACAGTGTCCCACTGGAAACTGTTTAGACCATCCCACCCCCTGCCCAACTCAAATGACCTTCTCAGGAAAACATAGACAATCTCAACTAAAATAATTCCCTCTTTTAAACTAAAAGGTTAATAAATTTCTATTAGAAAGGTCAGATTTTTCTCCAGAGTATCTCATGCTGACAACTGGGAGCAAGCGACTATGTCATTCTGATAGACCATTAGCAGCTGCATGCTAAATGGGTTCTCCTTGCTATGTTAGTCACTCCACTACCCCCAAATCTGGGGTATTTTAGCCCCAGTGTTTCACAGAAACCTCACAATTTATTTCTCAGGGAGTTGATTGAATTGTTGAACTTTTAAGCACAGGAAACAACATAAATCTTCTGTAGCCACCAGCAATTAACTTCTCAAAGACACTCAGATGGCTTGTCAATTACAGGATGAGATGAAGCCTCCAAGCTAAGGAAAATGGAAATTTATAGAAAAATTGTCTTGGTATTACTCTCTTCAAGGGTCATTACTATAGACTGATGTTGGCCCAATATCCCCATGATGTGGGGTGGAGTCCATGCTCTGCCTGTGAGAAGTTGTCCTATTGTGTTCCTCTCCACTGCACAAGCTTCAGCTTACAGCAGAGATTCCCAGTCATGAATAAATATTTAAGGGTACCACTCCCCTGTAAGTTGTCTTTCCTTTTCCTTTTCTCCAAGTGTTCCTTGAGCCCACTGCATTCTGGATTCTACTACTCTCCTGTGATGCAGGTTGGCTCCAGGCATCATAGGGCACGTTCCAACTCAGTGGGTTTGTGAGTCCAGTGGCTATAGCGTCTTACACACAGACATGTCTCATTTCCCCTTTTCAGAACCAAAGACTTTCATCCCAGAGTATAGTATGTTATTTAAAATGTTCTTTCACACATGATGGCCGAAGACACTGGTTTACAATCATAGTAGGCTATGAATAACAGCAACAGCTATTGGCCATTTGGAAGATTTGTGACAGGTAAACTGTAGGCAGTTTGTCATTTTGTTTCCCCATAATATCTGTACAATCTATTATAGTTTGTTAAGGGCAGGGAGGGAGAATACGAGGGGGCAACATGGGAAGACTGGGGATAGGAAAGCCTGCAGTCCTTTAGACATGTCCAAGGCTGGACAGCATAAATGGCTACTTCTCTGGCATAGTCTCCATTGGTGGTTAACAGGCTTAGGACTCTGATAGACCTGCTTGTATCCCATGAGTATTCAAATACTCAAACAGCTTATACTCTGAAGACTATTCACTCTCTGAAGATGCATGAAAGATACTATATGCATGCATGTGTGTCTGCACTTACTTATTTTTACTTCGACAGGGCCCTTCTTCACTGCTGTCTCCAGAGGACATAAATCTCTTAGTAAAGGTAAAAGTGCATGTGTTAAAAATGGTGATTGGGGATTACAGAGCCACAAAACCTTTCCCCTTCCTGAACAAATATTCAATAGTATTAAGAACAGCAGCAACAACATCTGTTATGAATTCACTGTGTAACCAGTGCCTGTTAAATCCACATGATTCAACATGGTAGCCACCGATAACATGAATCAATGATTTGTTTTATGGGTATTTGTATTTTGCCTGCATATATGAATGTGTACTATGTACATGAAGTGCCGACAGAGTCCAGAAGAGGATATTGGATCCCCTGAAAGTGGAGTTATAGATGGTTGTGAGCTACCATGTACATGCTGGGAATCACATTGGATCCTTTGGAAGAGCATTCAGTTCTTTAAACTGCTGATCCATCTCTCCAGTATCTACACACATCTACGTAAAATTATGTACAACTAAAGTTCAGGTCCTTGGTCATACTGGGCACACTAATTCTTAGAGACCCTATGTGTTTAGGAGCTTCCTTATGAGACAGTGCAGGCATGGAACAGAAGTTTTCCATTGAGTAATGTTTAAATGCTTGATGAACACTGTTCAATTTCCAATCCCATGAGGTAGGTATGGCTCATGTTACTGTTCTGTATATATGAAGCCAGAGACACAAAGAGAGTCACTGGATAGAACAGATCATTTAGGAAACAGAATCCAGTGTTCACAGACTGTACTTGGCCAGCATATACAAGTATTTCTGTTTGGAAAATGGCTGGAGGCAGAACCAAACAGTTGGTTTCTGATTCATGGGGGTTCACAGGCTTTTGGAGATAAAGACAGATGCTGAGCCTATAGCCAGCCCAGTCCTGACTTGATAGAGACATAACTGGTTTCCAGAAGGATATTTTCTTTTTCTGAGAGATACAAAGCACCCAGCATAACTGGACAAGAAAAAAGAGGAGTATGGCCAGAGTCATACCTGAAAGTTGAATTGTGGAGGTGCCCAGGTGCATTGCTTAAAGGTCTTGAGTCTTGACTGCTGAAGAGCTGGGCAGGGCTACAACAGCCTTGGATTCGTATTCAGAATGAAGCACTGTGCTGATGGTGATGGGAGTGGAGGACCCTTGACTGGCTCTACTTCAAGCCTTTGTCTCAATGCTGTATTTTACATGGCTATAGGTCACTACTTCTTATATTTTAAAACCCACTGGATTACAACTGAAGGTCTCTGATTAACGTATGAACTCAGTGGGGAGATAAATTAAAAAAAAAAAACAAATAACCCATGAAAAAATCTTATAACCTTGAGGCTTTTAATCTTCATTGAGATGTTTTAATGGAAAATCAAATTTTATTAAACCATGAGGAGTAGACTAATATAGATTTTTATTGACAGGAGAGATAGATTTTTTTTCTGCACAAAGAGATAAGAAATAGTTATTCATTGGTTCAATCTCTTGTTTATTAAAGGATTTTATTAATTTAGATAATTCTTCATAGTTTGGTGGCTCTGTGAGGACCCAGGTTTGTAACAGCCCCTATCCTTTAGGATTTAAACCTTAGGATATCCTAATCTGTATGGCAGTGATAGCAGGAAAGGATAAGACTGTGAGGGTCTAACCTCACACTCCATTGCCACAGCACTGAGACAAGCATTGAGCCAATGTTGATTCTTCAGCTGCTATAAAGAATGCAGTTGTGTTCGTTCAGGCAGGCAGAAGCATAGTGCTAACTCGAGCACTTGTGGTCAGGGCTGGTGCTCTGTGCTTCGAAACCTTTAGACCATAGCCTGCCCTATTGGATTTGGCTGGAACTGTGGAGCTGGCCATCTTTTGCATTGATTCTTGAGTCTACAGCCACTGTGATGCTTTAGGTTAAAGTCTGACAGTCTATTCCAGATAACTGGGAACCATGAGGGTGTCTTTCACTACCAAAATAACTCATGTCCCTAAGCATTTTAGAACAACACATACCTCATCATGACAGCTTGGAGATTGCCTCAGTAGAAACCAGCCTTGTAAAATGGACTTCTGTAGTTAGATCTTTTCCCTGGGAGGCCAAGTTCAGAATGTCTTCATGAAATGCCTCCTTTTAGTAAATCTTACTTTATCTACTTCTCCCCCAAGTTCTTGGGCAGTGTTCCATTACTGACTTTCTACTATAATTGAGTCACGGATTGGGCTGGAGAGATGGCTCAGCCATTAAAGACTAGGCTCACAACCAAAAATATAAGAGTCATGGATGAGTCTGTCAATGGATCAAACCATTAGGTTTAGGTTGTAAAATAACAAACCACATAGTGATATATAGCAACTACACTTTATTATGCTTTAATTCTGTGCTTGATGAGATGTTGAATATTTTCCATTCATTATTTCTAATTGTTTGACTTGAGGTTCTCATTTTACAAACAAGGAGATCAAGACTCATAAATATGAACCCATATTGTAAGTGGGCAGAAGCCTTATAAAGTCATATGCCAGAGATACAAAGCTACATGCCAGTATGCCCTGGTCATGACCATCTGGCTGGGAAAAGGACCCTTTGTTTAGTTTCTAGAAATTCAGAGAATACATGACTTAGCCACAGAAGGGGTGTAGGATCTAGAGAAGCTGAGTTCCAGGGTGTCAACAGCCAAGGAGAACATCAGTAGTACTAGGTGATGCTTGACTCATCCTGTGCTGACTGATATTCCAGACTAGTTCAGGGGGATGGGTCTTTCATCTTTGAACAGTAGACTATGTAAGACTACAACTAGGGAAAACCTTTGCTGGAAACAAGACAAAGTGGTAAAGATTTTGTATTTCCAAGTCCAGAAAAAGTCTTAGCATTTTGGTTTCTTACTGTCATCAAATTAGCTTCATTTTTTCTCATCTATCCCTCCCTCTATCCATTCATCCACATATTTATTGAAACATCATTCACCCATCCATCCATCCACCCATCCATCCATCCATCCATCCATCCATCCATCCATCCACTCATCTATTTCTCCAGTCGTCCACCTACCCATACATCCATTTATCCATGTCTACCTACATCCATCCATCTGTTCATCCATCCATTGTTGCAATGGCCCATTTCTTCATCTCATTTAAATGTAGTATAATAAAAAAGCCTAGCGCATCTCTGCTCTTCTAATTTTAAAAGAAAGAAACCAGGAACCAGGGGGTCTCTTCCTTCATTTTACATCATCATTGCTTTATATACTCCAGCAATTATACTACCTTCTAAATATTCAGTTTATCAAACAGCATGCTGAAAGAAGATGAGATGATACATAAAAAACATCAAGTGGTTTATTGATTGGTTCATCATTAGACAGTTGGTTGGGTCTTTGGGTTCATTTATTGAACTCAGAACTATGAAAGACTATTTGCTGTGGGCTGGCTCTGCAAAGATCAATGCTGTTCTTACTCTCTCTACTTTGTGGGGAAAGAATAAACTTACAAGCAGACCACCCATGAGTGAGACTAGTCTCTGAGATCATGATGAGCCCGTCACTGTCCAGATGACATCAGGAAAGCTTAGTGTAGAAGATATGTAAAGTATATTTGAAGATTACATAGGAGAGAAGCAAGAGAAAGGAGAACTTGCTTTTATGACAGAAAAACTACGTTCTGAGATTAGAGGACAACCCAGGTAAATGCAGAATCCCTTGAGACTGCAGGTCATTGACTATGAACCCATGGAGTGGTCACATGCTTTTATTTGGCCTTCCATACAGAGCACTCACTGGACCTTAGCAAGTATATTTACTTAGTGTTGATTAACACCAACTGATTTTTAGGTTCATATAGTTAGCGCTCTCAGCACAGTGTCCGGCAGACCAGAAGCTTTGCAAGTGTCTTTTAAAAAATGAATAACGGTCCAGTAACAGTGGCTAAATATTCTGGGAATTGTCTACCTGGTCTCACTATCTTCTTAGTTCTTTCTTTGTGTTATCTTATTTAAGTTTACTATAAGAAGAGAATAAATTGAAGAGTTTAGGAGCAGGGGATCCAAGAGAGGGGAACAGGATAAGGCTGGAGTATAGTCAGGTTACTTGATACTTGGCATGCTGGGAACGTTCAAGGTCAAGAGGTGACACAGACAAGTGTGAAACTTTGAACTTACTCCAGGAACCGCATTTACCTGTCTTGATAAAAAGCAAAGCTGAGTTCATAGGAACGTTTATTAAATGCCTGTCCTGGGAAAAGAAAAGGGCTAAGCAGGGTCACAATGTGGCTTTGTGTCACAGTCAGGACATGCTGTGCTAGGTGCCTGCGGCTTCCTTTGTTGTCCTTTCTTAGGGAGCCACTTTTCCTTGGCACACCATAGAGACTTTTCCTCCTGGCTTTGTTTGACTCTGTCCTCAGGGCAGAACATGCTATTTCTAGTAACACTAAATGTTTGCCTTCACTGTGCACTCTTAACATTTTTGTTCATGCTCATGGGCATTTTTACATGAATTTTGACATCGTTTTCTCAGGCCGTACTTCCAGCCAGGTTTCTGGCTAGATTTAGAGAAAAACTAGGTAATGATCAAGACTCATTTATGCTGAAATACATTTAGACACAAGAGTGCCTGGACCATGACAATCCATCAATTTGTTTTTCCATCATTGTTGGCATTTATAGCCAAGTATCTCCCAGAGGGGTGGGACATAAGGCCACTTTGCCTTGCAAATAGCTGAATTATTTACTTAGTCTTTTTTTCTTCTCTAAGGATGTGTGCAACGACTGTCCTCCTGGTCCCCCAGGCCTCCCAGGTCTGCCAGGTTTCAAAGGGGACAAAGGTCTTCCAGGAAAACCAGGGAGAGAAGGGGCAGAAGGCAAAAAGGTAAGGAGAGGGAGAGCTGAGGCTCCATTCCTCCAATGAAGAAATTCCTCTATCTAGATCCAGTGTGGCCTTCATTTCTTTTAGAGGATTCAGGCTTTGGGACTGTTTAGATCATAGTGGAGTACAAGGAGTGAAGACTGGATATCTGCAGGTCTTTGCCATTTTATGACAATATTGTCTGTGCCAGTCCAATGTGTGGTGATGTTGAAAAATTCATGTATCTTTGAGGCTCTTTCCCACTGCCTCCTTTCATTCCATATGTCTGATTCTGAGATATCTAGAATGTTCTAGTGGCCACTGTAGTTCTTCAGACCCATTTTCTGCCTATCACATAAAGAAAGCCCAGGAGTTGCCCAGAAGCTGCTTTCTTCAGAGCCAGCAACCCTGGGAACTCTGAGCAGACTCTGACTTCCAGATCTCCCTTCTATTTAAGCATTTTTATAGAGAACCAGATCAGAGGTGATAAATCAATTTAAATTTAGTTGTGTCCTTCTGGCCAGCTGGGTTTTGTTTTGGAGATTCCTCTTTCCCTTGAATCATTTCCTTCTTAGTAGCAGGGCAAGCTTCACACATACCAAGGTCATTGGGGTTTGCATACACCCTGATGTATCTCAGGGTGTACATCTGATGACATCTCCAATTAGGGTTACCCCATAAACCAACTATTAGCAGTGGATATGTAAAGATTCCTTCCTTCAGGGTAAAATCCAAATGTATTCTTCTAATGTAGACTATAAACTGCCACTCCCACTCATTTACCCATATATTCACTCTGTGACTACCTAATTTTGAGACACCTTTAAGTGTGTTCACAGACCCAGTGGCAAACATCAGAACTTCAGTGTTTGTGAGACAGAAGAAGAGGATCACAGTTTGAAACCATTCTAGACAATGTTATAAGTTCCAGCCCAGATACATAGTGGGGCATTATATTATCCCCCTACTCCACAAAATTATGTGTTGGTCGATATGTAGGCACTGGAGAGACCCAAAATAAAAAGCCTGTGTTCTGGTTCTCATGGAGTTCATGCAGTTAATTCCCACTGTCTTCTTTCATTCCATCCATCTGACTTTGAGCTATCTAGTCTGTTCTAGTTGCCTCAGTAGACCTTGAATGGTGCTTAGGTAGTTTGTTCAGAGTGGAAGGATAAAATTGAGAACAAAATCTCATGACAGCAATGGAAAACTCCCACAAATGCAGGAAAAGGAAAACAGTTTTGATATTTGAGTAAACATCCACCAGAATGTGTTACACACTGCAGGCTATATGCTAAGAGATTGCTAAGGTAAAGTGAATTCCCACTTCTTATAACCAAGTGAGCCAAACACCCACTGTAAGCATTTTCTCAAGATAAACCACAGTAAGCACTTTAATAAGAGGACTTAACAGAACCATTTATCATACATACCTGCCTTATATTCACCTGGTAACTGTAATACTGGCTCAGCTGATTAGCTTTGTCTAGAGTTGAGAGAGAGAAATTCCCCTGTGGTATAGGAGGAAGCTATGCAACCAGAAGCATGGATTGTGTTAACATTCTACAGCAATTAGAAGGAGTTAGAGCCATTGCCTTGCTGATTGTATTCAGGAGATGACCCTTGAGAACGACACTCATAGGTTATAAGTCTACCAAAAACCCCATTTAGCATTGAAAAGGATTTGTATACATTTTAATATGCAAAATAACTGCTCAGGAAATGGGTTAGAGGAGGGTTTCTTCACTTTTTATCAAAAAAGAGTCAAGTTCCTAACTGATAATATATTTATAAATTTGTTCCATATAAATATGATATGAAATATAGTCTTTATTTTCTCTCTGTGCCTCAATCACCAGATGTTTCCCTGAAGTGGTCCAAACTGAAAAATAATGCAACAGCATTGGAACTCAAGCCATTCTAAAGGCCCACTCTGCTTTCTTCCCCCTGGCAGGAGCTGGTGGGCATCAGTGATCCCCATCCTGCCATCTGGGAAGCCCCTCTTCAGAGTTGGATAACTACCAAACTATGTGTTATAAAGCAAGATCAACCATCACAAAGTGCTTAACATGTTTAATGATGCATGTATGTGTACATATAAAGCACATGGGCACACACAGGGAGACTCTCCAACTTCATCAGTCTGGAGGAATGTTCAACCCTGAGTGCACTGGATATTTTTTAGTGTTGAAAACAATAGATGTATATGGCTAATACTTAGTTTTGGATCATGTCTCCCCCATAGTGGCCCTCAAGGCCTGAGTTATAATTCCTTTAACTTTTGTGTGACAACCAGTCAAGGTCTTTCCATGGCTTTCAGTTTAGTGCTGAGCTTCACACGGTCCCAGTCCCTCTTCCCACATGAATGTGCAATAGAGCTGTCCTTTCCAGTGAAGTGGAGACTATGAAGCTGGGTTTCCTAGGATGAAGAATTGGACAAGGTGCAAAGGTGGAAGATGCAGTACAAGGTGGGAGCTAGACATTGTTCACTCTCATTGCAAAAGCAGTACACTGTTAATTCCCACCATCTTCTACTAGTCACAGATCAGCTACGTGAATGTGGGAAGGAGTGAGTATTGGCCCACCTTGGTAACTGGATACCACATCATTACTAGCTAGACATATTAGTGGTAGTTAGATCTATGATTTCATGGCCACATTTGATAGCATGCTTGCCCACATGTGAGGAAGAATCTGGCTACCTTATAAGGCTTATGCCTGGTGCAATTTCAACTTGACCTTTTCCTCAGAATTATTATTTTCTTAATTTTTACATCCTTTTTGTCTCTGCTACAGGGAGATACCGGGCCCCCAGGCCTCCCTGGGCCTCCTGGAGTAGCTGGACCACAGGTCAGTGAATCTCAGTAAACACTGAATATTCTCCTAGTTCATTGTTTCATCTAAGTTTGAGGCAAGTACTGTCCGATAGCCTTAATATCTAGTCTGGCTCCAGGTTGTGTCTCTGACTTTCTAGTGACCTAGAAAGCTATGTACACCCTGCAAGCCTCAGTTTCCCGTCTGCAAATATGTGGTATGTACAGTATGACTATCAATGGCACTGATATGTGTGGAACTTACTAGAGAATAATGAATCTGGTATCAGATACTTCAACTTCACTGCAGAGAATAAAACAGTTTCCTGAGGAGCGCTAAAACTGAATTATAAGATGCATAAAATAACTGGTGATCGATTAAAAAGCAGCGAGCCAAGTGCTTCATAAATGTGAGTGAGCTCTGCTACCCTCATGGGAATGCAAGGCACACATTTAAAGTTAGCTATGCAAAGCCACAGGGATGGGGAGAGGCCACCGGAGAGGAGAGAAGAAGCATAATCTCAATCAAAGAACAGGCAGGGTAATGCTCTCTGCCTGTTGGAACAAATGTTACTGGCCTATAGCCACAGGCTGTTGTTGTAGCATTCAGCTATAAGAAGAGAATACACAGAGCCGGGTTGGATCATGATAGGTAGACTTATTTCCCACTGTTGTCCTCCTTGATGCTTGGTAGTGAGTCTTCTCTGGTCTCTGTGGCCTCTGTGTTATTAGTGAGGGAGGGTTGTTTTTTGTATCTCTTCCTGTGTCCTATCTGGATCAAGTGTCACTCTTCTAATAGTGTGGATCATAGGGATTTGATGTCAGGAGAAAGGCATGGGCATAGATTCTCTGCTTATGAGCTTAGGAGAATTTCTTAACTTCTTTGTTTTTCTCTTTTAATAAACTGAGGAGTGTCACCATGACAACTGAAGGTAGAATGCTGTTATCAGTACTTGGTAACTTACAGACTCTCAGTATGTGTATTGTTCTTTCATCCCCTAGGGTCACAGCCTGTGGAAGGGCCAGAAAGATGCTGCATATAAACTCTTAGAGGTAGCCAGAAACCTCAGTAATGAAGATAGGAAATATATTTTAATGCAATACCACTGGGAAACTAGAAATGAATATGGTAGACCAAAAGGAATCCAAAACAAAACAAAACAGAAAAAAAACAAAAATCCAAACAACAACAGCAAAATCCCAAAATTTAAACAAAGGCAAGACCTACCCATACATAACTGACTGTTCTCACACCCTTTCTGCTAGTCCCAGGTGGTCTGAAGCCCTCTCTGGTTGCATTTTAAAATTCTCTTTATTTAGGACTCTCTCAATTGATTTTAGATTTTTAGAATAATATTGCTTGGGGGTGTGCTTTAATCTTGGGTACTGATTTTATTTTTAACAAATTCCTTGGACTGGTGAGATGGCTTCTGTGGGTAAAAGTGCTTGCTGCCAAACTTGAGGTCCTGAGTTTGATCCTTGGAACCCGTATGGTAGAAGGAGACTCCTGACTCCTGAAAGTCATATCCTGAACACTATATATTCATTCACTGTAGTGTGACCCCCTCAAAATAAATAAATGAATAAATGTGAGACAATAATTTCAAAGGTGAATGGTTGCTATGCCTCAGAGCCATACCTTAAGGTATTGACTTATTTTAGATTTATGTTTTTGTATGTAAGTATTTTGTCTGAATGTAAGTATGTACGCCACATGTATGAAGCATCTGTAGAGCCTAGAAGAGGTCACTGGACCTAGAGTTACAGACAGTTGTAAGCTGTCATATAAGTACTGTAAGCTGAGCCCAGGTCCTCTACATCAACATACAGAACTCCCAGAGCCACGTATTATTCCAGTCACAAAGCAATAGATCAAACAAGATAAACGTAGGTGGTCTGACCATAATCAGAGGATGGGTCATGAAGAGAACTATCTAGGCCTCTTAGACCCTGCCAGGCAGGTTCAAATGCCTGTCATTTATGATCCATACATATACTTGGTCAAGATTTAGATAGTTTTGATGCAGTTAAAAAATTTGGCTTCAAAAACTGACATTATTTGTTTTCATTGGACACAGACCTGGAGATTTTGCCAAGGGCAGTTTGACATTGAACAGTATCAAGAAAGTTGTATCACTGAATGGGCTACTGCTCAATGCATGCAGATGAGGCTCCCTCTCTGATTCTGCAGGGAAGGCTCATGCAGTCCCCTGGAGAGCTCCAAGAAGTTACCTCAGCTGTTTCTTTGTTGATCTTTGCTGCCATTGTGCTGACTGCCAGGCTTAGCCTCTGACAAAAAGGAACCTTTATCTAGAGAAACAAAAGTGAACCAATCAAGCCAGTGCATTTCCAGCACTGGAAACAGACAATTTTCTTTGTCATCTCTACCTAAAAGAAAGCACTAACGTTTTGGGGTGGTGTGTCCATTCCTGTTATTTTATTATTCACTCCAAGGGAGAATTTTTTTTTTAAAAAAACAATATTTTGAAAGAGCTATGACCAGAAAAAGATCAGAACTTAGTGCTGTGTTGGAAAGTTAGGACTCTTGTTCCTTCAGTAGACATCTGGTGGTGATCTTGAAAAGTCTTTGGGCCTCATGGACAGCCCCCACAATAGCAGTGTTCTAAGTGTGAGGCTGCCACCTAAAAGATACGGCATCTTATAGTGCTGAACATGATCCTGTGAGGGAAAGTGTTCTCTGTTCTCACTGCATTGCCAAGGCCTAGCTCCTTGGTTTGTAGCTGTGACTCAATATCTGGCAAGTATTTCCTGTGATTCATCCTGCATGCTTCTAGGTAGAGGCTATCTGCAGAAGGTGGGCGTGGGGCTGCGGAGCTTAGCACCATGGATAGCTTCAGGGCTCCGTCCTGGTTTTAGAAACTACAGGAGCAGGGCCCAGAGACTGTGTGCTGTGATGTTTGGCAACCTTGTAGAGGTAGAACAGAGAAAAAGATAGCAGTCATGGTGATAACCCTGGGAACACATGTTTCTGCATTTAGCTGTAAAAACTTCTCTTGCTTGGTAATGATGATGGTTTGACAGTTGCCGCTGAAAAGGATTCATTTTTCCTGCTCAGTTCACATCCTCAAAGAGGTCACGGGTCTAATGGGGCCCTAAAGTGGATCTAGTGATACCCCAGAGAGGAGATATGCACTCTGAAAAGTTCTAGTTATTTCTGAGGTAATATTGCTATTTCTTTTGACAACTAGTATCCCAGAACCTCATCCTTCAGAGGTCACCAGGGCCATTTGCTTCATGCTGTCTTTATAAACTGGCACATCTTCCACTCACGTGTGCTCAGTTCTAGGGACTATCACTACATGTTCCCTTTAATGTCATCTTTCCAAGTCAAGTAGTACAGGGAGAACTCATATGTAGGCCATTCTTTTGATGGGAGCACACAGAGAAGATAGTGTGACTGGAGGCTCTTAAATTGGCAGACATAGGCTTAACTCTGGAAGCTGGTACCTCTCCAAACTCCCCTGCCTTCTGTTACCTGAACGAATTGACTTACTAATTACATTAATCGGACATTTTGTTAGCTTCTCTAAATCTTTTGTTTGTTATTTAAAGATGCTGACTGACTGGTTTGGGTTTAGTAACCCAAACTGTGATTATAACTCTACTTGTAAAATCTAAACAGTGAACAATGTCTTAAGAACATTTTTAAAGCCCAGCATGTAGGAAGCATTTAATACACATTACTGATGGTGGTCCTTGTGGTGCTTAGATTATTGGGCTTAATAACAAGCAGGACAAATGTCTGGAGGAGAGTAGAGGAATTTAAAGAAACCAGTGTCAGTGTGACAAGAGGTAAGCTGTGATACCTCCTTAGGAGGTGTATTTTAGTTGCATTGAGGGATTAAAGAGAATTTGCCATGCATCTTGGGGGAGAGTTTCTAGGCAGGACACAGCTGGGCCTCATATGAAAGGAGCAAAGGCTTATTTGCTGGGTGAGTTCACACCCTCCTCTCCATAGCTTGCAGACCTCCTGATGAGATTCAGCAGCTTTGACTTACAAAGGACAAAGCACAAAGGCAGATGCTAAATAATGGAAACACAAATAAAATGGTACCATGGTTTCCAAATTAATTATTATATTAATTTATAATTATATTCAAAAGCAAATCAATGTCTACTTCCAACCTAAGAAACCTCTCTGCAAAGAAAAGGAAACAATCTGATTATCATCTGAATGCCGATTCAGGATACGGTGTATACCACAGCCTGGTAGAAGGCTGGAGAATCACAACAACTTCAGTCTTAGGTAGCCAGTCTATATGGTTGAAGTCAGCATGCATATGTGTCTCAGGAAGTGTTAATCAGTACTAAGATAGAGGATGTGTCACCCCATTCATCAGCCACATTCATCCCAAATGGGCCAGATACCTGTATGATCATCAGTAAGCTAGCTGGCTTACAGGAGCATCTCCAGTCTTTATCAAAGTGGGTGGTTTTGTGCCTGTGATCCAGATTGGTGTTTATGTTAGTCTCCTTCCAGCAGGCACTGGGAAGGAGAAGCAGCACCCCTCACCTCCGCTGTGTTCATTAAATTCTAGAAAGATGATTACTAGGTCCTAAGGAAGGCTTTAATTGAGTTCCTGGCAATGAATAGGCAGAATATTTGTATATTAGTTACTTTTCTATTGCTGGGATAAAACACAACAGTGGAAAGCAGGTTATCAGGCCCTTGGAGTATGCCTTGCCCCAGATCCTCCCTATATCCCCAGTCTCTACTTCATGGCTTCTCTAATACACATTTTTCTGTGCTCCCTCATGCTGCTTTTACCATTATGACTGATATTTCTGAAAATATGAGCCAAAATAAATAATTCATCTCTTTCTGTCAGATGTTTGGTCTCAACTATGCAAAAGTAAACTGTGTGTATGTGGAGTGATATTATTCCTTGTTTGTCTATTTATTTATTTATTTATTTATTTGTTTATTTATTTATTCTATGGAATCAGATTCTTTGTGTAGGACTGAGTTGAGAAGCAAGAATGAAGCTTTTGTAAAGGATATTTAATAAACATCTAAAGAGAACAGGGCTAGTAAAATGGTCCTGTAGCTTTGGAAGGATAAAAGCCCTGGTAAGATGGGATTTAGATCTACCTTTTGATTGTTGAATTTCCAGTGTACATCCATGTACCTCATTTGCTGTTAGCATGGTTGATCTGCCATCTCCACTATCATCAAACTTCTGGAAACCATAAACCACACAAGCTAGGCATCATAGCCCCAAGAAAGAGTCAGGAAAATGACTTGTTTGGGAAGAGATTACTTGGATATTTGAAAATCAGATAGACTGAGACCCTAATGGTGGATTAAACCTAATTATTGACTCATTCTTTTAAAAAAAATTTTCAAAGTCTCATGCTGCCCAGACTCTTTTGGAACTCACTATTAAAAGTACCTTGAACTCCTGCCCTCCCTGCCCAAGTGTAGGGATTATAGCTGGTGCCACTGTTCTTAGTCCAAATTTCTTATCAGTCTGCAAAGACCGAGGTCAAGGACTAAGACCAATGTCTTAGATGTTTTACGTACTTAGCCATGAGCTCAGCTTAGAGCCATAGAGTTACATGTAACAGGGTCTTTTAAGGTCCTAACTGAATGCCCAGTAGGGCAGGGGCTGCAGAAAATGTCAGGTCCCTTCCTGGAAGGAAATGAGTCATGTTTGGAGGTGGCTGTGTTTGTGCAGATTTTCGTCTGTAGTGGGCACAGAGAGAGGGACAACTATGGGGATCCTGAGCTGCTGGCATTTTTATTGTTGCCAGCTGAATGTCGAAGCCACTCTCCAGCTAGAATGAAGACTGGGATTTGAAAGGAATACATTTACCTTTAAGGCCAATTGTCCCTGAATGTCAGTGAGGCAGTGTGCAGCTCTGTGGCACTTCTTTGATTATAAAGTGGGTGCAGACAGAATGCCAACTTTAGACACTTAGATATAAAAGCATATCAAGATGATGGAATCAGTTTTTTCCTGTGAACTATTTTCTTCCTCTAAACAATGACACCTAGTGCTTTATAAGCAATGATTCATAATACAGTCTAGAGACTGTGGGATAGAGTGTCATTAGCAAGCAGCCATGACAACAATGAACTGCTCTGTGTTAGAATAAGCTGAATGGAAAGAAGGCTGGACTTCACATCTCATGAGAAAACGGCTGGGTTCTGGATTCTCATGCATTGATCTTCCCCTACCCCTAATCCTTCTGGATGGACAGATTGAGATCTAGGAAGGGAGATGACCTGCTTAAGGATGCAGAGATGAAGAGGGACAGGAATGAAACCAGTGCCAGACTGATTCACTGTCAAGGACTCTTCACAGCCCAGTAGGTTATTTTAAAGAACTGGAAATGTTGCTGTTTAATAAAGTTTGGTGAAATGCAGTTGGTAATCTAGTAAGTACACTTAGTGTAGTAGCTTACTTTAGCAATCCTAACACTTGGGAGGCTGAGGCAGGAGGGCTGATACAATTATGAGCCCAGGCTAGGCTCAGGAGTGAGTTTTAAGCCAGCTTTTAATACTGCATAAAAACCTGTCTTAGAAAAAAAAAATCTAATGAGCCAAAAGCCATGTGTGGTGGCTTATACCTGTATTCCCAGTAGTCATGATGAAATATGGATGCATCACTGTGAGTTTAAGGTCAAATTGGGCTACGTAGTTCTAGTTCAGCCTGGGGTATAGTTTAAGAAACTGTCTCAAAAACAAACAAACAACAACAACAACAAAAAACCCCAACCAACCAACCAAAAACAAAAAACAAAACCAAAAACAAAACCAACCAACCAACCAACCAAACAAACAAACAACCAATCAACCAACTAACCAAACAAGCAAAAACCAAACCCCCCACAAAACTCAAATCCCCAAAGCAAAGGATGTATTAAGTAAGTTGAATGAAGTGGTCATATCCATATACCAGCACTTGTGGTGGCTGAAGAATTAAGAGTTCCAGGCTCTCCTCAGCTATATATGATATTGTGGCCAATTTGAGTATTATAAAATTCTATCTCAAAAAATTAAAAAAAATATTGACCCAACTGCAAAACATGAGCTGGACAAGGATGACAGCAATGAACCTGCCAAAGTGGATGGGGGAAAGCCTACAAGATCTCAACCCTATGATTCTTACACATCTGGTCTTCAAGACCTACTGATGATACTCCTTTCTGCCTTGGTCTCACCTTTCCGGAAGACCACACTTTCCCCTTGATACTCTCTTTCCCTCAGCTTGAGTCTTCTGACCCACCTCTTACCATGGCTACAGATATCATCTAGGACAGGACTATTATCCATCCTTCTGCGATATCTTCCATCCATCACTGTGTTTAGATTCAGGAATGACATACCAGTCTTAGAAATGAATTCCCTTCAGCCCTGTTTGTTTCTCTATGCTCCCCTGAGGGGCCTGAAACTCAGCTAAACAATTTTATTGGCAATCTTTCAAGCAGGGCTTATTCTGTCTATTGTCACCTTGGTTGGCAGCAATGATTTGATAAAGAATTTAAAGAACTGATAAAAGACTAAAGCACACTTTTATATTTGCAGCGTGGCTCCAGTGAAATTTTCTGTGGCTTGACTTGTCTTTTCTGTTTTCCTTCCCAGGGAAGCCAAGGAGAACGTGGTGCAGAGGGTGAGGTGGGACAGAAAGGCGATCAGGTAAGGCCAATGTCTGTCATGAAGAAGTTAACACTGTAAGAAAAGCTCACTCAGCAGTGTCCATCCACTGTTTCTGATGCCACTCTTGCCTCTTCTGTGCCTGCAGGGGAATGGTTGAGTCTTGCTTTCTTGCTTTCCATCTTGACCTCTCTGCTTACTCTTATCCTGATCTATCTCCCAGTTGTCCGAGGAACATGCATATTTCCATTTTCTCCCCCTCTTCCTGATTGCTTCTCCCATACGAAAGCTTTTATCATTGTCTAGGAAACATCTCTTTATCCCCCCTACCACTTCTTGAGCCCTTCTTTATACTCTTATGGCAGTATTTGAAACCTTTTGTAGCACTCCTTGAGCCAGTCTGCACCCACTCAGGCTAGCTGGACCCCTCTCCTAACACATAGGAGGATGGCACCAGTATCAAAACTGTTCTTCCTATGGAACTGTAGTTCTGCTTTCTGACTGTCCTCCAACTAGTAGCGCCTCTTGATTCTGGACAGCCTTAGTGCTTGCTCAGTGGCTGTTGTAGATTTTCTCCACTGCTGTCATTATCCCTTCCTTCTCTTTCTTGCCCTTTACTAGCCCTCCCTTTCTGCTTTCTCACTGGTCTTCATCTAGCCCCAGTGCCCACAGTAGCCAGTTTCCAGGCACTGCTCCAGAATCTGAGATACAAAATGAGCAAGGGTGGATCCTGACCTCAGGGCTTATTGATACAAGTGAGCGCAGAGTGAGCCACTGAGCCAGTGATTCTTGTGTAGCCAGCTGCATGAGAGCTGTGCTTAAGGTTTGCACCACTGTATTTGGAAAAACAAAAGGCATCTGGGTTATCATGCCACGGATGCATGTATGTCAGCAACAAGCACTTTATGCCTTGTACTGAGTATTGTTTGTGCTTTCCAGTGGTAGGTTTTTGAGGGGTAGGAGAGAGAAAGAATTTCTTTGATATTGTTTTGTATTTTGACTTTTTTGTATTAGACTAAATGTTAGATGTTGAACTCTACATTATAAAGAGTGGATGGTTCATTCTGTAACTCACAGGAGACTCCACATGCAGAAATAGATTATTTCTGTATTATTATCAAAATGCTGATGTCACAATTAAATTATTCCAAGCTTTTTCTGTTAAGGAGGTATGAGTTTGACTGTTACTTTCTTTTCTTTACTTTCTTCTTTAATGGGATACTACGTGCACTTCTGCAAGACTGGGAGTATAAAAAGGTCATTTTCATGTTCTATCTAGGTATAAGAGCTTTAAGATGTCATCTTTCTTGTTTTGATCTGCATCCTTAGCGACTTCTATGTAAACAAAAATATTAACAAGTCCATCAGTGGTGGCCTGCACTTGTAACTCCAGCACTAGGATGGTGCAGACAGGGGATCCGTGGGATATTTTGTCTAGTCTGTGTGTCTACTTCATAAATCCTGGGGCAATGAGAAACCTCATATCAAAACATTAAGGGGAATGGCACCTAAGGAGTGTTCCCGAGGATTATTCATTGGTTTGTACATGCATGCCCATACATGTGCATGAACACACACACAGAGAGAGAGAGAGAGAGAGAGAGAGAGGGGGGGGAAGGAGGAAGAAGAAGAGGAAGAGGAAGAGAAGAGAGAAAGCTCTTTATGTTGTTCACATTTCATTACATTACATTGGTTTATTTACATTTCAAATGTTGCCCCCATTCCTGATCTTCCCTCCACAAGCCTCCCATCATATCCCCCCTCCCCTTTGCCTCTAAGAGGGTGCTCCACCACCCACCTACCCACTCCTGGCTCACCCCTCTAGCATCCCTCTATGCTGGGGCATCAAGCTTCCACAGGATCAAGGGCCTCCCCTCCCATTGATGTCAGATAAGGCAAGCCTCTGCTACATATGTAACTGGAGCCATGGACCCATCTGTGTATATTCCTTGGTCTTGATAGCCATGGAATAAACCACGTGTGAAAATGTTTTTAAGAGTTAGTCCTTATGTGATAACAACTCTTTCTTTAGTGTTTCATTGCAGGAAGTATTGCAAGTAGTCCAGAGATAGTTTATAGCATATGGGCTAATGGGTATGAGATATAGATCATCTGTACAAGGACCTTGAAGTGTCCCTGAATTCTGAGGTCCTTGGGAAGATAGCCTGGAACTGATAACTCTGTGTAAAATATACATGCTCATTTAGTTTTCTTTTAGTTCTTCTTTAGTGGGACACTATATGTATATCTGTAAGAATGGAAGTATAATAAAAATATTTTTTCCTGTTTCATTTAGAAGTAAGAGCTTTAATAAACCATACCCCTTGTTTTTATCTGCATCTTAAGCACTACCATATGCCCTTCCCCCACCTCAATGATTTTGAAGCAAATGCTCTTTCAAGACATATTCATTTTTATAAATACCATGAGGCAATTTCTTTACAGTCACTAAAGTTATATGAAACAGAGACTATCTGTGGCCAGAGTCTTCAACCACATTTGTCATTGGGCTTAGGTGGAAGACTCTAGATTTGTTATTTGTTTCAAGTAGAAACCTTTTTTATGTGAATTTTTATGAATCATTTTTAAAGAATTATCTCCTGTGTCTTCCTAGGGTCACCCTGGAGTTCCAGGCTTCATGGGCCCACCAGGGAATCCTGGGCCACCAGTAAGTAGACTAATGACCTTTATCTCTTGGTTTTGGCATTCAAGAAATGTGTCTGTACTCCATAAAGTTTATGTCAACGCTGGACCTATCTTATTTGAAGTGATAGGTTTACCTTTAAAACACCCAGAGATGAGAAGGAAGCGAATAGGATGACTATAGACAGATTTGGGTGGGTGATTTTGTGCCTGAGGGTCCCTGGCACAGGTTGATAAAGCCAATGTTTCAAGGTTAGGATGTTCAGTAAAGAACTCCTTTATATTGAACTTGAGGATATCTGTAAAAGCCCAGGTTCTCCCCAATGTTCTGCAATCAATAACTAATAGTTGTAAACTATTGTTCAGTATTATTCTTTTTAACCACTAATTATTATTCTCTGGCATTTTCCATAACTAAAATTAGGAATTTTCAAATTCCTAATTTATAGTGCTACTTAAGAAAATACTTTCTTTGCTCTAGCAGTAGATGTGACCAAGGCCTTGACATAGAAGCTCAACACCATTCTGTACTCACAGATTAGTCATGTTGTGTCTCTGCTTGAAGTCAACTACAGCTGCAGTTCCTAGATTCACTGAAGGTAGTCATGACAACAAGCAGTGGCAATTACTATCCCTGCTGAGCCCAGGACCCCAGAGATTTCCATGGATTCTCCATAAAACTCTGTCTCTCAGACCTTGCAAACAAGGCTACTCCAAATGACTCAAAGCCCACAGAAAAGGAACCTGTACCAAACAGAAAACAGGGTTTGAAAATAAATTTTGAAAAAGAGAGTCAGTTTGGATTATGAAGTTAAAGTTAACAAATTACACTTGCTTTGTTCTTTTATGCTTTTCAAAGATTTGCAAGAGCAGAAAGTACTTTTAAACATTAGACCATCTCTTCATCCTCTGCTTTGCCTTTTTAAGTAGTAATTCACTGACTTCTAGTGGTGTTAATTGATCAAAATAAATCAAACATTTTTTTCAAAAGTATTTGTTTAATGAAGCCATGTGAGATCATGAAACAGAAGTTGGCCCTTCACAGTGGACTTCTACATTATACATGTTAAAGAATGAAAAGTTCACTTTAAATCTTTGTGACATCAACAATCTCCCCACTCCTGATTTTCATAGCCTTTGTAATTCTTCAGCATCAGTTCCTACCCGATCTTATTCTGCTATTTGCTTTTGTGGAGGAAATGATAAGGGACTGATTAATTTGTTGCCATTGAACTGCTGCATAGAATTTGTAAATTCCTTAAAGATTTATAATTTTACTTATTAAATTATGTTGCATTGTACTTGCTTATTATCCTAGTAAGCTTTCTAGGAGGAACTCAAGGCAGGGACATGGAAGCAAGAACTGAAGGAAAGACCATGGAAGAATTCTACTTTCTGACTTACTCTCTGTAGCTTGCTCACCCTGCTTTCTTGTGGCATCTGGGACCACTTTTCTTGGGGCAATACTGTTCTAAGTGGGCTGGGCCCTCTCATAGTGATCATTAGTAAAGAAAATATCCCACAGGCATGCATATAATCCAATATGGTAGAGTTTTAAGAAATCTTTAGTTAGTGTCAAACTGAATAAATAAATAAATTAACCAGCACACTTATTTTATTGTTAGATCCAAAAATTAGACAAAGAAAATCCTGACAAAGGTGGGACTCCAGTGTATACTGGGGAAGGCACCCATACCAATCAAAGAACATATGAGAGATGGATGGCTTTATTCAAAATCAGTTCATTGGTGTATAATGTCTTGTCATGATAGTCTTAACTTCCAAATGCACTCCTTCAGCTGAGGATCACAACCTCTTCCCCCCTCCTTCCTGATGGTTCCAAAGCTAGAACATGGGTCTAGTACCTTCTTGCCAGAAATAGCAATAATTTAGATCTCCTTAAGACTGTGACGACCATAAGGCACAGGTCCTGGCTTTGGAGTCTCATGTTGAATGGTGAGTCTGAGACATAGAGGCAATTGCAATCAGCAGCCCCTGTGTCTGTTTCCAATTGAGGAATGCTTTCAGCTTAAGTAGATGCTTACAGAGCTTCTGTTTAATGCCATGCCTCGTGTTGCTATGCTGGAGCTTTGGTGATGAGTCAGCTTTTAGATTCAGTGACTCATCCCACAGGAGCAACTCAAGAAGAGAGAAATAACCAGGATGGCCAATGATGCATACATGCTTATTATTTGGCAGGTCCTCCAGTCCAAGTATTCCATGATCTAGACTCCAAGCCTACACAGTTCTTTCTTTGTTTATTTTCTCCTCTCAATCAGTGTCCTTCCACCAGATAAAACCTTTACCACTTTTCTACTGTGCTTTTGATTCCAACTCCACAAAGTCTAGGTTGTGGGGGGAAGAAACTTTTGCCAAATTTGTATAGAAAAATTCAGATTTGAGATAGAGGCTACAGTATTTTGGTAGTTTTGGGTTACATGTCTAATTTCACTAAGAACCTCATGCTATTTTTTAAATTTTACTGATGCTCCTATAGTTCATGAATATAACCTTTCTTCCTATCTAGTCTAAGAGATGAAGGCAAATCAAACAGCATTCCACCGTAAGAACTTGCAATCTCTAAGAGATCAGCTATATTTACATCAAGTTTCTCTGAGATGCAAGGCTATAATTTGGTTACTTCTTTGTACCTATAGCATGGCTGGCACCTATAAACTAATCTCTCAACAAATACATTTAAATCAATCAAAGGCCACTGAATAGTTATCAGTAAAGTTCTGTGAGATCTATTTATTCATGTTTCCATGATTAGTCAATAACTACTGAGGCTGCTCCTTGCATGAATAATAGACATGTAATGTTAGATAATAAACATATGATATTCGATGTCCCATTATGTATTGATTGTTTTTGGTGATGGCTAGTTCTTTTTATAGCTCAATCAACAACCCACAGGTGGTTGTTGCTCCTTTTTGTCTTCATTTCACAAAGGAGCTTGGATGTGGCAGGGCATAGTAACATGCACTGGATTGCAGAGCAGAGATGCAGGATATACACCCAGAATTCTGAATCTGAGGTTCTGTCTGAGCCAATCCCTCTGTCCTGTACTAAGCACTTTTTTTTGAGTCATCTCAAACATTCCTCTTCTTTTTAGGGTGTGGACAATTTCCATACTTTCACAGAGAAAGAAACTAAGCTTATAGATCATATGCAGAAAGAAGCAAATGTCTAAATTCACATAAAGAACTACTCCCCATGCAGAGACCCATAGCCAAACATTGGGTGGAGCTCAGGGAGTCCTGCAAAGGAAGAAGAGGGAGAATCAGAGGAACCAGAGAGGTCAGGTACCTCAAAACACTGCCCACAGAATCGACTGACCACAACTCATGGGGCTTGTAAAGATCAGGGATCCATAAAGGTCTGACCTAGGTCTTCTACATATGTGTTATGACTGTTTAGCATGATGCCCTTGTGAGAGTCTTAACAGTGGGAGTGGAGAAGTCTTTGGCTCTTTTGCCTTCTTGTAGGACGTTCCTCCAACTGGATTACTCTATGCAGCCATGATGTGATGGTAGATGCCTGCTCTTATTGTAGCTTGTATACAATATTACATAGTGCATTTATAATACGCTGTATAATAGTGTATTTGGTTGATGTCCCTCAAAACCATGTTCTTTTCTTCAGGGAGGCAGACAGGGGAATAGATTTGGTGGAAAAGGGAAGTAGGTAGGGGGAGAGACTTGGGGAAAGGTAGAGAGAGGAAACTGCAGTCAGAAAGTTATATGTGAGAGAATAATTTTTTAAAAAAGAATTGTTCCCTTCATCCCCTAGCTGGTTCTGCCTCTACTCCCATCTGATTATTCAAAAAATTGGCTGAGTATTCAGTATATTCCAGGAGCTTCCTTAGAAGAAGAGAAGAAGTCATGGAGTTTGTAATGTAGGAATGATTGACAATAAATTTAAAGTCAACAAACCCTAGGGTATCAGACATTAGCATGTGCTACAGCAAAAAAAAAAAAATACAAAAGGGGAAATATGTTACTGTGGCTTCTGATGGGCCAATGTTTAAACTTCTCAGTCTTGCAAGTAGCAAATATATGTCTGAGAAACTAATGGCTAAGTTGTGCCTGTGGACATGGGGACAAAGATGTAGGCAGAAAGAAACCCCCTATCTCTCCCAAAGCAGTGTTACAGATGAATGCCTGGAGCTTACTCTCCACTGTTTCCTTATTTTTCTGGACCATTCCTTCCATGCTTTTGCCTATATATCTCTTCATCCATAGGTTGACACTAGTGATCCTCTCCCTATTCTCCAAGAAGATAGACCTAGGTGTTCACCTATTGATCTGTGCTCCCTCTTAACATTAGCTGGGAAGTCTGTAGAAGTGTGAAGCTTTTCTTTTGTCTTTGGGGTGACTGGCTAGTCAGTGCTTTGCCCCTTCCTGAAACATATCTGCCTGTCTCACATCAATCCAATTGCATTTGAAACTGGTCTGCCCTGTCTTTCTTTATAGGGAGCAGATGGAAATGCAGGTGTAGCAGGACCACCAGGACCTCAAGGGCCCCCGGTAAGTGTTGGGCAAGACAGAATCATTTTTAAGTTGACCTTAAGAACTTTTTAGAGACCCATGTTTATCAACTCTGTTCCCTTCCTTTCCATCTGTGAGCCCCCACATTCCTGAGGGTCTGTTCAGGGCCATGCTTTCTTAAAGGGAAAATGCAAACCAAGCCTTTTGCTAGATGTCTTATTACTTTACCACTAAAATGGAGATTCTGACAGATTGCCTCATAACCTGTGATACCCCAATGCAAACAAGCTCTGAATGTACATTCCGCCTCTCCTTGTCAGAGTAGTTTCTGTTCTTAGTAGCCTAGGGTTAGTGGGAGAAGCCCAGCCTGTACTGCGATATGCTCAAGTGTGTATCAGTCAGGAGTCAACTCTGTTACCACAACTGTTCCAGAGGAAAGTAAAAATCAGAAAGGAAGGTCATTGGTCGATGTCCCCAAATCATAGCTGGTGTGGTTAACAGTTGAAGTTTTTATCTTAAAACTCAGAATTCTTTTCTTTGCTGAAAGCTTTTAGAACCATACCAGGCTTAGGTGCTATAAAGCAAAGTTGAACTACAGATTAGAAGGCATAGTGCTGGTTGAATTCGTGTATGATATTTAAAGATACATCTATTATGTCAATACACTTCATTCCTTCTGGACATTTCATTTCATTCTCTCCAGCCATTTCAGCCATGTAAGTAGGAGAAACTTGGTTTATGAATAAGGAAAGTGAGAGTGGAGAAGCAGTTGACATTTAATGGAAGAGTCAGAGCCAACAGCTGGTTACAGGAAGCTCATCAGCATAGTCACAGAGAATGAGGGCGCGTTCTTGCTCTTGTAATTCTGGCAAGCGCATGTACAAAAGGGCCCTTAGGGTACAGTTAGCAATACCACATCCTTCTAGGCCAGCATGGAAAAGTGGTGTCCAATAGACAAAGGCAAACAGGAAATTAATGTTCTGCTCGAGACTTAAGTCAATTTGAAGACTATTAGTTTGGTGTTCTTTCTCCTATTTCATACCAACTCACCATGGAGCACTGAGATTGAATAACTGACAGCCCCACGGCCCTTTGTAGGATCATCCTTCGGTCAATCCGTTTGAAACAACCCATGCATAAATCCCAGGATAGAAAACACTACAGGCAGCTTCTTATTGATTCTAAGACTATAAAAGATTTTCCCAATAAAACTAATGGACTGTTTGCCTGAGGAGAATAAGATACTGAGCCCAGTTGTAAAATCATTACATTGCTACAAATTAAACTCTATTAAATAAGACTTTGATTCTACCATGGGACCCCTTGGTAAGTTATGAGAGCAGTTGGAGCTGTCCATTGTTCTGATACATCACCATAAATATTATGTTGGGATAGGGCCAAAGTTTTCTTACATGAAACAATGTTGGCTGTGTAATATGGATGCACACAGTTCATACAATCCTAATTATTCTCACTGTTTTGAATTAAAACATATTAAGTACTTGCCGTTGTTTTGACATTATTTGAAGGGCAGCAGTTTGATGTTGAACCCCAAATAGTACCTCTTACAAATTAGTCTTACAAAACATGATGTCTAAATAGCCTCTCTTTGCTACTAAATGTTTTGGGAATGTACCATCTCTTCTGAAGCAATACAAATGGAGAATTGTGATTGGTGGAGCTCTGTTGAATTTTTCTTTTATAACTGTCTTATAGCTATGTTTTTATACAGCAAAGAATTTGTATTTTCAAAGCCAGGACTTAATTTTCAAAAGTCAGTATTTTCTTCATTCTGCCTGATTTTAATTAGTTGCTTAATAAATATTTAAGTGTGATCATTTCCACAGTAAGTGATTTGTACAAGCAAACTTAAGGAGAAAGGCCCTGTGTCACCTTTTGAGCATTCAGCTCTGTTGCTAAAGAGAGATCAGGGAGGTGCTCTGATGCAGACTAGATCAGGGTAGATTGGTGGGGCTGGCTCTATGTTCTGAAATTTGGAGCTGGAGGCTAGTTTGAGAGTTTCTATCTACTGTGTTTACCTCCTAGTCTCTCTGACAAGTGAACTGCTTTGTAAATATTAAAGAAGTTATTTATGATAGCCAGGGAGTCAAGAGGCAGAGTCTTCTACTGAACTTGCCTCTCTCACCTGAGAATCAAGTGAATGATGTAACCCAAGGCTTAGTAAACATTAATTTATGAAGAAACAAACGGAAACAGCTCAGACATTGTGAGGCACAGTTCTCTGTTTTACCTAATCAGCAGAGCTCTGTAAGGCAACATGTGCCAGAGACAATATATACGCTAATAGAATATGAATTTCTGCTAATAAAACTTGATTTGCAAGAGCAAGCAGAGGAATGGAAATTGTTGATCCTGTTCTTAAATTACTATTTTTCCATTTTAAGGGTTTTGGAACAATAAACAGCCAGGAAGGTGTCCATAATGCTCCATTATCAGCATCTAAAATTTCCCATGTAGCTGAACAGGTGTTCCATATGAATATGTCTATCCACACTATTTGCACATATCATGGTAGATGCTGTAATGGGGGGAAGATAGATGCTGTGTTTTACTGGTTTGTTCATTGCATTGGTCTGAGAGGCAGTATGTTCAGATAGTCCTAAATGTCTTGCAACATAGTTCTATAAATGCCGCAGTGCACCACAAATTGAAATCAACTCAGAGGCATATCAGATTCTATGAGTTTTTATTTTAGAGTTACAAGAAACTTTTTAGATATGTATGGAAAGTGTGAATACCTTGTTGAATTCTTTAAAAATGACAAAAGTAAAGCATAATCCCTTCTGCACCAACTCAAGAGTCTGTAAAACAATTCCTCAGTGTTGTAAGCATCTGTTCCTGTGATCTTATTCATGGTTTAGAATTGGCTAAAAAGCAGCCATTCAGTTTATATGCAGTACAAATATAGCTTAATAAGAGACGTGTTTTTTGGTTCCCTAATGGGACCATTTTTGTAAAATCCGTATAAATGTGGCATAAGCACTTTTGTTTGTTTTCACTTACATTTTGAGGATAAAATAGTAACCCTTTAAAATATCACTTTATGTGATTAGAGTGTTAAGCTTGGCACCAGAACCTTGTCCTGCAAAGGCACTGGGAGGGAGTTAGAAAGTCATCAAGAGTCCTTCATACTCATGGCAGGAACGTGGGGCGATAGGAAGCTGAGCAGTGTGATCAGAACAGTGGCAGCTCTATGCCTGTCATGAATAAACTGGGAAACAAAGTGCTAATTGATGCAATTTGGCAAAACAGACTTTGAAAATAGCACACGTTTTTCTTGGAGGGGGATAATGACTGGTAGCTATTTCTGGATAAAGGTTTGGGTATCTGTGGGGAAAGTACATAATGAAAACAATGAAACTGTGGATTACACAAGCCTGTGGGTCAGCCTTTCACTTGAGCTGGTTTCTGTATGTGTGGCACCCCAGGATCCTAGGCTGTCCTGTGGGAAGAGACAGATGTTGGGATGGATGTGGATCCATGTCTTGTGAACTTCAATGCCCCAAGTCTTCTACAGCCATCTGAAGTTGGTTTCCCTGTGCCTCTATAATGTAGACAATGTTTACCTTCACCAGCATTGTGTTAGCATGCTCTCTTGAAGATAACACAGCCCTTGAGAGTGCATAGCCTCTGAAGCAAGGAGGTTGCAGGAGCTTTTAACCAAACCCTTCCCATCTCACAAGACAACCCCCCTGTGAGATTTATCCCCAGAACAAGCTGGAAATAAATGGTAATAATGTTCCTTCACAGCTGACCAAAGATTTCATGATGTTTTTATGTTTTGGCTGTTTCAGGGCAAAGAAGGCCCTCCTGGTCCCCAAGGGCCATCTGGCATTCCAGGAATCCCAGTAAGTACCACTTTAAAGAACCTGGTTTCTCAGCAGAAAAATATGTAAACAAAAACATATTTCAACCGTGTGTGGTAGTGCACATCTATAATCCATCCCACTACTAGAGAGGTGATACAGGATTTAAGGCTATCCTGTGAGGTAAGGGAGATAGAGTCTTAAAAAGTTCTCCCCTTTCTCCCAGCAAAATGCATTGTAAAAGCAAGGTTTGGCCACTAGTGGAAATTATGGTATTTTATAAAATTAGAAGAAAACTAAAGTTTAACCTAATTATTCTCGATGTCTAAACTTGAGTGGAACACATCTTAATCTCCATTTACACTAAAAACTGGTGGTTTCTTATTGATTTAAATAGTTTTTATTTTCTCTCTTATATAGTTACACAAATAAGCACATTTCTATACGGATCCCTACATACACAGACATATAAATGTTTTTATTTACAGCACTGCTGTTACATATTCATAAAATTTGCATGTAAAATGTAATGGATACTGCATTACCTGTGATATTTCTCTGTTGCCTCATAAAACACGCAGGGAGCAGTTTCACATGAAGGGCAGTTCTCTGATTCCTTTAGGATGACACCCTAGAGTGGAGTTTAATTGTTATATTGTAATTATAGCCAAGGTTTTTGATACATGCTGCAAAATGACCTCATACAAATGGTTGTTCTCGGCTCCACAACTTAATATACACCCCAGTAAGGCTGAGATCTCTACTTATACTAATTGTCTGTCAGGGAAGTCTTTTTCTCATGAGAATGAGCTCTTATGATTGACTGCCCACAGCATCCCACGCCTGTTCCTTAAAATGTGTTCCTTTATTCCAGCCACACTCATTTTCTTTTGGCCCCTAGTACCCATTATAGTCCCTCCTGCCACAAATGATCCCCTCTACACCATAGGGATTTTGTGTGTGTGCTTTTGTCTTCTCAGAACAATTTCTGGTTACTCCTTTTCACTGGTTGGTGCTCTTCAAGTCTTGGGTACTGGGAATAAATCTTACGGTTTCATATACACTAGAGAAATACTCTACCATTGATTCACATCCTGATACCCTAATTCAATTTGCCTTCTGGTTTCTTCCTCCTTGGATTTATTATGTATGTATGCATATATATGTACTCATAAATGTATGTGTATGTAATCACATATGTGCACACACATATATGTATTTGTCATTGTTATATTTACTGACTCTGATCAGACCTAGTATATTAAACATGCCAGGCATTTACAGCCCCATGGTTGAAGCCTTTGGTCTTAAATCCAATTCCAGCCCAGGTATTCATCCCTACTTCCTTCTCAGTCATGGTGAGTTCCTAGTCTCTTTCTTTTGTGTCTGAATCTCCACTCTTCCTATATACTAGATTGAGGAATGTAAAAAAGACATATAGTTGGGAATTGTATTATGTATGTTTCAGTTTCTATGATGACGACATCTGCTTAAGTTCAGCCATGGGGCACCACACAGCAATGAGTAATAAAAGAAATGTGAGAGTGGGGGAATAGGTTTCTGAGGTCCCTTCCTGCTCAACTGTCTACCAGGCATGGCCACAGATGGAAGAGTCCTCTCCTGGGGAGCTGCCATGAAAACCATATGTGACCATTCACATTGTAACCTGTTGATGTTCACAGATCTGAGGTAGCAGTGTGGAGCTTATATAAATGACAGTATTGTAAGACTGATGTGTCTTGTAGTTCCTGGATGAATAGTAATTTCATTCTATAAATGGTAAATTAAAGGAAATCTCCAGTTTTGGTTTTGGACTCACCCATTATAATTAATATAGGACAAAAACTGGAAGCTAGAAGCCATAGAAATAATCATGTTGTCCAATCCTCTTCCTCATTCTTCTCCTGTCTGACCTTTAACACTGAGGTCAAAGATCTTACTCTCCACAGTGTCTCTACTTACCCAGCCCTCTCCCTCTTCCCTTTCAGTGTAACCCTAATCATATCACTACCTTTCTAGTGCCAATTCTCACCATTATACCAAGACTGGGTTTGCATTGGCTTCTTTCTGCCCAGAGCTGTGGGCCCTCTTCCCTGTGGCTTTTGTAGAAGGGACATAATAAGGTTATGGGTTCTCTCTTAGCCCACATTACCCAGCCTTCCTTCCTCTCCAGTTTATTCTTATCCATTTCTCTTAACTCCCTCCCCAGCAGCACAAAAACTTTAGCTACTTTTTCTTCCCCTATCAAGGAAGACACCTCATTCCTATCTGACACCTCCTTTACCTTATACTTGGACAGTGAGAATCACTGGCTTCAGTATGCACGGAGTTCATCATGGTTTGCTGTGTTTATAGAACCTTTCACACATGAATGTATCCCACTCCTTACTAAGCCATACCATCAGACATCATGTACTTCTGAGACATGCCCATGAACTTGAACTAGACTTAAGATCAGAGGCTGGGAGATGATTTAACTCTTAACAGTGCTGGCTGTTCTTCTAGAGTACATGAGTTCAATTGCCAATGTCCACATCAAGAAGCTCACAACCAACTGCAATTCTAGGGGATTCAGACCTTTTTCTGACTTATGTGGGTATTCATACAGATGTGGCAAACAGACACATGCATACACATTAATAAAAATAAAATTAAAAATGAAACCCACATTAAATACCAGGTTTTGAAAGCTCTATCATGGAACTGAGGGGATAGCTATGAACATGTCTTGTTTCTCTAGCCCTCGTCATCCAACTTCCTTAATGGTGCCAAGTTAATACTTTCTCAATCTGGACTAAATGGTGAGATAAGGCAAGTGAATGTCAGATGAATGATAGCAAGCTCCTGAACCACATATTCAAAGTCCAAGTTCTACAGTACACTGGAGTTACATGAGAAGACAATTCAAAGAGGGAGAATTGTTAGTATAGAACAAGATAAACTAAGTTATACACTGGACCGTAGGGAATCAGGGATGGATAACCCAAGCTGGCCTAATAAGACTACTAGAGCTTCCTGAAAGATGTAATGCGAATCAGTCAAGGTCAAGTTATATATGCAGAGAAAACTGACAGGGCTAATGAAGAAGGTGTGATGGGTTGAAGCAGTTGTAGACAGATGTGACTGTATACATGAATTACTGGTGGACAGAATTTAACCCCTTGCACTTCTGTTACCTGCTATGAGGGTTGCAAGAGTCACTAAGCTCACTAACATCTGAGGACCAACACCAGAAAGTAAAACAATGAATCTCTCCATTTATTGAGGGCCATCTCCTTGCTTGCTGTATCTGTGTTATGTTATCAAATCTTTACCCTGCCGTACAAACACAAGTGTATCCATATTTACTCAAAAGGTAAGAAGCCATGGTTCAAAAGGATAGGAACTGCCCATTCAAGCAGCTTCCAAAAGCCAGCTTTCCTGTCTTGAGAATCCCCATTTCTATCTTAGATCACATAGGAGACCACACCTACCCCTACCACCAGAACATGGTAAACTCATTGCATTCAGGGACAAAAGGTCACACCAGAAGTCCCCAGATGTTGCTTTCTCTGACCTGAGTTTGCTGGTGTCCTTCTTTTTTAAAACCTCTATCAAACTGCCTGTATAGCTATCTGGACCCTCCTTCTCATGGCCTCTGTGTGTAGGGAGGAACAATTGTAGAGTTGAACTTTTTAATCTTTACATCTTTAATTAAAATTTAGTTACATCATTTCCCTTTCCCTTCTCTCTCTCCTACAGCTCTTCATACCCTCCCACTACTAACTTTCAAATTCATGTCCTCTTTTTCTCTAATTGTTGTTTCACACACACACACACACACACACACACACAGATATATATATATGAATATATATATATATATGTGTACACATATCTATATCTATATACATATACACATACAAATATGTAAGCATATGTGTGTATATATACATATATACACACATACACAAAACATGCTGAGTCCATTTTGTGTTGCTTGGTTTATGTGTATATGATTTAAAAGCTGACCATTTGGAATTGATAGTCAGGGTCACCATCCCTGGAGAAGACTAATTCTCTCTCTTCCAGCATCCCTTAGTTTCCTGTAGTTCTTTGTCTGGTAGGGATTCCCTGAGATTTCTTCCTTCCACATTAGTATGTCTATTGTTGTCATTGGCTCTTGTTTAGGTTGCTGTACTGTTGTGGTATCATTGGTGAAGCTTCCTTGTCATTTCTAGGAGATATAATTTTACAGTAGGTTTCCTGATTCTCTGGCGGGCATTGTCTTCCTGCTCTTTTTTCCATGTTCCCTGAGCTCTTAACCACAGAGGAGATGGATCCATGAGTTCATTTATTTGAAGTTCACACAGTAATGCTGGGAGCAGCATTCATAAGACATAATAGGTACCAATGAAGCAAGCGGAGGCACAGCAGGCCGGAGAGGGAAAACATTCTGATGATGGCTTGTAGCAGCATCCTCCATGCCCATGCACTACAGGCTAAGGGCAGTAGTGGAGAAAGGGCACACTTTCTACAACAGCTATGTGGCTGCCTCACTGGCTGGTGCTAGTGTTTTGCTGAGCATTGCAAATGGTTACTTCTGATTCAGCAGGGCACATTTATTCTTTCTTTTTAGATTAAGAGGCACCAAGAGGCCACAGTCCTATGCCGCAGAGATGCAAGTAGAATTTAAATCCTACTTAACTGAATTCTTTTTTTTCCTCAGCTTTGCTACTTTAGTTTGGATTCAGGTGGCCTGAGAGTGCACTGTCCTCTGACATATCTTTGCCATCTTCTGAGACCCTGACTATGTCCTTATTTATAAGATAAAAATCAAGATTACTGTATCCTCATCTAGAGATGAGATCAGCTGGGGTAGAGGAACTAGAGAGAAAATCATAGTTTGGCTTTGTGAAGAGAAGTGTAAGCCACTGAACTTTCTAGAACCAAGCAACTCCCAACCCTCTTTCCCCACACTTCATAACGCCTTAAGAGCACTGGTAAGTATTTTTCTGTGTGATTTCTTCTTTCTTATTGCACACACCCTGTCAACTTACTCATCAAAAAGGCCCACAGGGAGGACTATAGTGACAGCTGTTGTAGATAAATCACAGAAATCAAGATATGATTGCAAAATGGCCTGCACTTCAGGATGTCAATTTCTGACTCAGAAACCCACTTTCAGACTCGAGAGGTTGGAAGAGAATGATCTGCATTTCCAGATGTCATACTGTGACTCAGAAACCCACATCTAGACTCTAGAGGTTGGGGAGATACCTGTGGGCTGCTAACTGAACATAAGGCTGTTGCTATACGAACAGGTGTACATGGGGTTCCTTCATATCTGTCCTTCCTTTTTGCTAATCTTCCCTGACCTAATAAGCAATTTGAGTTTATCTTTCAGGGAGAAGAAGGCAAACAGGGAAGAGATGGAAAGCCAGGTCCCCCTGGAGAACCGGTAAGGGACTCTACACTTTCCCTCATTCTAAAACCATCCATTCTCAGCTCTTCTGTGATCTTGAAGGGCTCCTATGATCCAGACACACAGTCATGCCTATGTACCACTTCCCTTTCTTCTCATAGTTCTGCATGGAAAATAGCCCTGCTTTGCAGCTGACAAAACTGTATCTTAGGTTAGTAAGTTGACCAGCCAGAGTCACATAATGGTCTGAGCTCCTGAGTTGTCTTGGTAGGCTTACAGCTGGATGACTTATCTATGACCTCAAAGTCCTTTCCTAGGGGTTGGAGATGTCTCTTGCCTTGATTCAGGGTTCGGTGGTGGTGGTGGTGGTGGTGGTGGTGGTGGTGGTGGTGGTGGTGATGCTGATGTGGACTCCACAGTTTCTGGCTTTACTCTTGTCTTCACAAATCTAGAGCTGTGGTATGTCTCAGTGGAGTGATTTTCTATCATGCAGAGCCCATGTACACTACAGCAAACAGAAACAATGCAACACAAAGCAAAATAATACCCAAGTAAATCACATACTTGGTAAGGAAGATAAAGGGCTGCAGGGATAGGGAGAGAACTGGGTTCTGCCTACACTTCCCTAGTTATATAACAGAAGTACCTCTACTATAACACTGGGTGGTTCTAAGAAGAGTGAAGGCTCCACCTATGAAAGGATGGTTTTACAGGAAGGGCACAGTCAGGGGATTTTATACTCCATAGGGTTTTAGTTACTGTTTGTTTGAAAGGTTTATTTTTCTTTATTGCATTTGCTCGTTTATTTTTGTATGTGTGAACAGTACACAGGCAAAGATCAGAGGTCAGCTTACAGAAATTGCTTCTCTCCTATCTTGTGGGTCCCAGAGATCTAACTTAGGTTGTCAGGCTTGCAGCATCCACCTTGACCTGCCAATCATCTTACTGTTCCCCTTTCCCTATTTTAAATTAATTTAATTTTATCTTATTTAATTATTAATTTAATTATTAATTATTTAATTAATTTAATTTTAATTAATCAATTTTTAATTAATTGCTAATTAATTTATATGGTCCTGTATTCATTCATATGTACTATGACAGTGCAGTGCCATGAGGTGGGGCAGAAGTTGGCATCATATCCCCTGAAATTGAAGTTACAGACAATGTGAGCTACTTGATGTAGGTGCTGCTAGCAAAACTCTGATCTTTCAGAAGAACAGCAAGAGCTCTTAACAGCTCAGCCATCGCTCCATCCCCACCTTTTAATATTTTAAATTGATGTTTACATATTAAATATTGATAGAACTAAATTTAATATAAAAATAAAATTATTTTATGCCCAGTACCAGCAAGAACAATAGCATCAATGTAGTTTTCGATGCTGGAGTTCCTCCTCATAAGCTGTGTGACCTTGAGTAAATTGAATAGCTTCTCTGAACTTCAGTCTCCTTCAATTAGGTGGAGGGTAATATACTAACTTGCTAGAAGTCATGGATCAAATGAGGTGAAGAATGTACAGCACACTAGGTTTATCTAACTCTTAATTATTTTAGTGAGGTTCTCTTTGCAACTGCTCTACTTTCACTCCTGGTGAGGTCAGAACTGTGGAGACTTTACAGCCACTAAGTGGAATTATATAAAAGTTTTTTTCTGGTGAGGTTCATGGTCCGTTTAATTTGCTTGGCCATAAACTATTATGACTCATTCCAAATCTCACACGGCTTGCCTGAAGCACCTTCTTCATCACTTTATAACGTTTGTCAGTTGCAACAGCTCACGTTTACTGCTGAGGGGAAGAAAAAGAGCCTTTTCTGGAGAATGATATAGGATGCTCTATGGGGCTGCCCAAGGAGGCGGATGGCAGACAGAGGGTGGAAGGACTGGGAGGGGTGCACAAAGGATAGAGAGATGTTTTTGGGAATACCTGGGGCCAGGAACAGCCAGACCATCATCTCATTTTCCAATTAAACCCCAGTAAAGCTTGGGGTTACAGATGTTCTTGTCCCAAGATGAGGAAACTGGCAATACACACAGGCTAATAGCTAGACCAAGGTCTTCCAACTGGGGAGTGAAATCTCTGGGAATCAAATCTCTGAGGCTGACTCAGAGTTCAGTGCACATAGCTCAGAGCCATGATCCACCTTTGGGATGAATGGACATTACCCCTCCATCACAGGATCACTAGTCTTTGCTCCATCGGTTGATTGAATGCCTGCTCCAGGGACTGTCATTGTAATACAAGATCAGTCCTATTCTGGGCAAGCAAGGATTGCACAGGAGATAGCTGGTTCTCATGGAACAGGTCATCCTCAATGATCCCACAAAGGCAATGGGACTCTGGGACCCCGAGCTATGCCTCTTTGAGCCCTCTGTCTGCCTTGCTGTGGAATTTCACTGCAGAGTCATCTGCTATTTTATTCTACTGAGATGTTTTGGGAGGAAGTTGGCATAGATAGCTGGAGTCTGGGATTCCCTGAGACCTTGACGCAGAGACAAGGAAGGAATCCTACCAATTGAAGCCCCTATAGAGTGAGGAGACATATGGATCATGGGAGAGAAGGTCATAAAAGATAAACTAGTGCCTCCAGAGACAACTAATATTCAGCTTCTCTCCTAAGAAACTGTAAGAAGCACACTGAGAATATCTGTATCTTCCAAAGCAGTAGGGATGCCCTTATGCCTGAGACTGGGGTATGAGGATAGAGAATGGGAGCTTGTGATACATGGTTCTTCTCCACTTTGTCCCATTCTCCTAAAGGGCTATACATGAAGAAACAGATGGACAGGTAAGAGGTTGATGATAGCCCAATGGATGGATGAACATTTCAGTATATAAATTAAAAAGGCAGACATTTTGTATTGCCCACTGTTTAATGTTTTAATAAGATATAGTTGAGTATCACTTGTTTAGGAAGAAGTCCAGTTTCAGTTATCGTATCAATTACAAGCCTCACTCTGTGTCCTCGAAACGATGACATAACCTCCCTGTGCCCCATGTGGTTTTCCTAAGGAGCATATTTCATTGGTTCCCAGTGAGGATCCATCATGATTCCAAACATCTTAGTTGTGTCTAAAGCAGGGATAACCCTCAATTGATACTGTGTTTGTCTGCTAGTAACTGGGCTAGTACTGATGATCACCTTGATTATGGAGCAAAGGTGATCACCTACAAAGCTGGACCATCTGAAAGTTAAAACTGTAGGAACAGATGCGGGGACAAAATGGCAATCCAACACCTGGATAAACCAGGGCAGAAAGCAGCAAAAAAACATAATTTTACAACCAGCCTTTGATTCCTGGCTTTTGTCTGAAATTTCTCTCTAAATCTAAGTGCCCTTCTCTTCTTTATGAGAACCCCATAGAAGTCCTCAGGTTTTATTTTGTATAAAAATGAGGTGCAGGGAGTTTAGGGAGGGCAATGCTCTCAAGCTACAGTGAAAAAAGATCCAGACCTGTCCCAGTTGCCCATCCAACAGTCTCCTTTCACCTCTCCCTCGGTTTCCTCTCCCCCACCTTCAAGCCTTTTGTCTGTTTTCCTTCATGTCTTGGTTCAGTCTGGCATAATGCCAAACTGTGGGCAATAATTTTATGTAGCAAGTGTGTCCTTTTATTCCTTTGTATCTGAGTACATCGGGTGTGGGAAGGGCTGCATGAATCAGATCACAGGCCTCTGTGAGTGGTGTCACTGGGGCCCGAGCAGAGCACCTGCCTGGATGTCAGGAAGCTGAGGTATTCTTTAGCTTTGTCCTTAGAAGCCTAGTCAAATAAAACAGCTTTGATCTTCAATGTGCCCATTGGAAAAGTGTAATGGTTCATAGCCACCTTGAAGTGCTTTTATGAGTCAAGTCATTAATAACTAAGATGGGTTTATCGTTTCTCATCAGGCAAAAGCACTCTGACAGTGAAGGGGCCCTGTGAATGATTCATTGAGGGATAGGGCTTGAACTATCATCACCACAGGAAAACTAGGAATACATCAAGCCTGAATGTACTCTGGAGCCTGAACTAGAGGAAATACATGAGAAATGCTAGAGTCAGGGCTGATATCCTGCTTTACCAGAGGCATGTGGGAATGTGGTGGTATGAAAGGCAGACACCAAAATATCTGAAGATCCTGAAGTTGAGAGCCTGAGTCTTTTCTTTTCTTCCTCAATTCAGGGTAAGACAGGAGAGCCAGGCCTATCAGGAGCAGAAGGAGCCAGAGGTCCACCGGTAAGTGCAGGTCCTATGCTGTCCCCAGGAAAGTGTGAATGGTTTCTGAGTTACAGAAGTCTGTTTCCCAACATTCTGGTGCTTGTGGAACCAATTCTGCTTTCTCTACGGACCAATCAAGCTTTTATCTCCCAAAATGTGAGCCATCCCATGCCAGTTAGGATTTTCAGCTTTCTTCATTATTTCTCTCTTTATCCCAACTTCCATGTTCTCTACATTGAATAATTGAAGGAAAAACAGGGGTGTTTCATTTATTTTGGTTTTGTTGTTATTTGTTTGATTTTCTTCCCTCCCTCCCTCCCTCCTTCCCTCCCTCCCTCCCTCCTTCCCTCCCTCCCTT